CTCTCTCTCTCTCTCTCTCTCTCTCTCTCTCTCTCTCTCTCTCTCTCTCTCTCTCTCTCTCTCTCTCTCTCTCTCTCTCTCTCTCTTGTCGTGTTTCTTTGCAGGTGCGCTATAACTTTCTCCGCGGCGCAAGTATGGCGGACCTCCTTCCTTGATGGCGCCGCTTCAGCCCAACTTTAGCGCACCACTGTATGACGACGGCGCGTGGAATAGCGGAAACCAGCTCCGATACCAGTGCAATCAGACTCGCTTTCTTCTTCACCTCGCATACATGCAAACAGATGGCAATTCACACTGGCGCTGTGCGCCCACGCAAAATTCAGAGATAGTCAAGCCGAGAACACAGTTCAGTTACAAACTCGCTTCCTCTTGGCTATGGTGCCTGAGCGCCCACACATCCTCTGTCCAACACTGTGTTCACACAGCTGTTGACACACCCGACTTCGGATCTCCCTGGATATCCCACGCACATACACTCTGTAACACCCACACACCCACTCACTCTGACTAACACCTATCGCTAGCTATGCCAGCTATGGCAGCCAACTGCTACTATCTACAAGCAGCTATGGTTGCGCTAATCTCCACCTCAGCCCATTTCGACTTCAGGCCTCTGCAGACCACCTCGCACAAGACGCTAGGGCAGCGCTTCCGCATGGCTCACGCAGGAATGACTGAATGGCTGGACGCTGCCTCTTGATTTATACTTCTGTAAGTCGCTGGTCTGCCCTTTTCCACCGGGCCCCCATGGTGCACACAGTCCCTCATGGTACTTGCTGACTGTACAAAGTGAGACTGGGACTGGGTACCGCTGACTAAGCGAAGTTGGACTCACCACTTGCCCGCTTGCCTCTGGTCTGCTGTGTCTAACGTGAGAAGAAACTTGAAAGGCCACTTCCGGACCTTCCGGAAGTTTGCGGACTTGTCCTTTCAGGACTGTAGCAGCTACGACCTTGACCTTTCAGGACTGTAGTGGCTACGACCTGGACCTTTCAGAACTACAGCAACTATGACCCTTATGCAGGTATGACCCCTACTTCGACAGGTCTAAGGTTCAAGACCCGACAACTACTCAGACCTACAACAGACAACTTTCAATTACTAACACACAGGTCACGGGTTCAAGACACACAGGGTCGACTTGATACTGTACACAGGTAAGGTAAGGTAAGGTAAGGTCTGGGGATCAAGCCCTGGGATCCGCATCTGTGACTGCAAAAGGTGAAAAACCGTTTCAGCGGCCGCAATTGGACCCATATTCCATGTTTGCCATTCAGACACACTCTCTCTCTCTCTCTCTCTCTCTCTCTCTCTCTCTCTCTCTCTCTCTCTCTCTCTCTCTCCTGCGGCTGCAATTTGACCCATATTCCATGTTTGCCATTCAGACTCTCTCTCTCTCTCTCTCTCTCTCTCTCTCTCTCTCTCTCTCCAGGAAAAATATTAAATAAAT